GGGGGAGGGGAAGAATCTCAAATTATAATTATAATCTTAAAACTATTACTTAAAGAAAATACCTAGAATTAAAACCCTCGCATATGTTGTTAGTTCTGGTTTCTCTGTTTCGATCGAACACATTCCATGTCACTGGACGATAGCAGAGGAACTGTGGGTCTGAACAGTGAACACAAAGTTAGTAAACTAACAAATACATGCATGATTAAATTTCCATAATATGTACTCTCAGTGCATGTACAGTTTTTTATATCCCTCGAAAATATTGGGAAATCCCTCAAAATTAATTGTCAGCTGAAAAGTGGAAACCCATAAAAAAATTTGGGAAACACCTCATAATGAAGAGGAAACCCCTCAAGAACTTGGGTTTGATGGATTTCCATTTTTCGACAGAAATCGCGGAAACACTTAAAAAAATACTTTTGAGGTTTTATTTTGGTAGGCATTCGTTTCGTTTCCGGTGTGAGGCGTTTACATAGCGCCAATTAGTTTGTTTAAGTCCATGAAGATATCTTATAAATTTAGCATAAAATGCAATTTATTTAAGACTGTATTTTTAATTAGCAAAAGCCTGTTTTAATAATTTTAAAATGCGCTTGTAAGTTAAAATTATTTATATGTGTGAATCATTTTTAAAAAAATACGGTTATTGAAATCTCTACCTGGGTTCATATATACCCTGTTGACATACCCCAGCCAGGTTAAGAAGGTTGGATGAGCTGCAGTCTCCGCCTGAACCTGGGCATCACCCATGAAAAGGGTGTAGTTCACTCCTAATAAAATAATAAAGGTTGACATTCACACTAATAACAATGTTTGACACTGCTTAGGATGCATTTTATTTTGATGCAGATCAGGAGAAGAAGACGACATTTAATCAATATTTTGTGCATTAAATGTTGGTATAAATCAAAATTTAAGTTTAATAATCGTTTTTTGATTCCACAATACTAAAGAAAAAATTGACCCAGATTCAAATCCTGATTCAGTTATTGAACATTTTTTAAAGATTTACTGATTTGTTTAACAAAGCACAATTGTCAAATAATTTTTTTTCTTTTTGAGCTGAAATTTGATCAACCATTCAGAGATCATGAAATTTGTAACAATCATTTAAATTTAGGTTTGAGAGGATAACATTATTTGTGACCCTTTGATCAGGATCTAGGAAGCCAAAATCTTGTGATCAAATATATCGAGATCCGGATTCAAAGCATTGCATTTAATTAATTTTATAAGAACTCATTTCCTAACTTAATTTTAATTCTTGAAATAATACTCTTAAATCAGGAGAATTCAAATTCTGAACCATTTCAATGAAAAAAATGAATTATACGTAAACAAATATTCAAATTTTCATTTCACATTAAATTTTATCTAATATACAAAAAACCGTTTGATTTAAATTTAGCAAGATAAGATTACAATTATAAAAAAAGACATTAACAAATGTAAGATAATTCTCTACCTACAACTTGATGGGGCAAATCACCCATCACCAGAATCTTGTGGTAGATTTTCTTCATGTTACACCTGGATCCGTCAGGATGTATAGGCTGGTTCGTATAGACCGGCTGCAAATGTTCCTGAAGCAATATTTATAATTTAATATTTCGGTTTACAAAACGCAGAGACTCGATTAAGACAACGAAAGTTTGTTCTTTTTGTACTCTTGTATTCATGATTGAAAGGAAAATGTATTCACATTTTAAGTTTCAGAAATGAATTTTAGTTCTCACCACATTTATTGAAAAAGTTTTTAACCCTAAACAGGCTGGGGAGGGGGGAGATTTTGCGCCCCCCCCCCCACTATAGTTTTTTTGACTATAGCACTCTCATTTTTGACACTTATCCCTATGATATTTTGGACTTTTCATAAGGGGGGGGGGTTGGGACGGCCCCCTAGTCTATACATAGATTAAGAACCCCCAGCCTTTATAGGGTTAAACAGATTCCTTTTCCTGGGCAATACAACTATCTGCTTAAAATTTAAAAACCTTAAAAGATAAAAATATCCACAACAGTACAAATCTTTAAAAGAGAACATTTTTTACGCCTCGCCGTAAATACTCTTTTTTGGACAGAATTGTTGAACTTCTTTCTTGCCCGCAATCTTACTTCGGTGCAAATTAAAACTGAGGCAGGAGTGAATATTTACAGAAATTTTAGACGGTGATATCCTCACTGCCCTTTGTGAAACTCACCCAGCTGCGGCAACAGCCAGTAAAGAAGTTTCCAGATAATTAAAGATGGGATAGTTTTATTGTGAAAATGTATAACCTTGACCTATTTTGTATAAATATATAAATACTCATGATTACTTACATCTCGAAATCTGCTCCACAACGACTGTTTGAAATGGAAGTTGCAGAATCTAACCCTGCAGTTAGGCCAGACATCATGAGCAGCCATGGCAGCTCCCCTCTAGAATTATCAGGTGTATACATTTACAAAAATTAACCCCCTCCCCCCTATAAATTGCAAGCTTTTTTAGCCTTCACTATACTTTTTCAACAATAAGTTATTAATTTCACCAAATGATTTACTGATTTAGATTATTACACTTTCTCCTAGGCATAATAATATAAATGTTAGGTCACCTAATGAGGTGCCCCAAACGAAAAATTCCCAAGGGCATATTCACGAGTCAAACGGAAGTGGCAACTTCCTGCTGATCCTTCATGGGCAAGCTATTTTAAGTTTGGAAAACGCCTTAAGGAGAGTTTTTAGTCTTGCATCCTTAAATTTTCTAATTAAGTACATAATCTATTATTATATACAATCTGGGCTCTATAGTACCCTGCAATATATGATTACCTCAAAATCCATTATCATGAGAGGAGGATCTATATTCAAACCATTTGCGACACCCAGGTCCATGATCTTGTTGAAGACAGCTGTATATGCTTCTATATAATACAAAGTACTAGTGTACGAGCACTGGAATGCATGTTTCAATTTGATTGTTTTGACACATTTCAAAACTTATGTTGCGTTGCAACTCTGAAACTGAAATGTAAAATTAAAACAATGGTTTCAGGGTTGCAATGAGGAATTCAATTGTGTCATAATTTTGTTCATAACTTTGAAAAAAAAATAAAAAAACATTTTACCTTTAGTTTTATTCAACATGAGTGCATACGCGCAAGGAATACTAAACCCCTTTACAAAACATAAGAATAACAAAAAAAGCAGGGGTGTATATAATTCCATATTTTTGATTCTTTTCCCCCCCACCCCCTAAATTTTTTTTGAATTCCTTCCCCAAACTTGACAACTCAAAGGCATAGATTAAACTCTTCTTAGATTTATTATAGTATGATCTAAAAAAAATTACTTATTCTTACTTAATTAAACAGTAAAAAAGTCTCCTTCCCTTCTCCTTCCCTTCTCCTTCCCCCTCCTTCCCTTCTTCTTCCCTTCTTCTTCCCTTCTTCTTCCCTTCTTCTTCCCTTCTTCTTCCCTTCTTCCCACTATTTCCCCTTCCGTCCCACATATTAGCTTTTATGTCTTCCGGCAGCCATGAGCCCCCACTATTTCCCCTTCCGTCCCACATATTAGCTTTTATGTCTTCCGGCAGCCATGAGCCCCCACTATTTCCCTTCAATACCACCACATTTGACCCTTCAGTGCAATTTAACTTTAGTTGAGACGGTTAGTGGACATGACGTTAATGCATTGGGTTGTTTTTATTTACGACATTAGAAAAAATAATCCCATGAAGGATTTAACCCATCAGTATTTAGTGACTGCCAATATTCATGCTACACATTTTATTTTCAATTCAACAAGAAAGCAATAGTTTTAAAAGAATGTTTGTCTTTCACGAGACAATTTTTATTAAAAATGTCAGAGGTTTTCCCATAAAACTGAATTCTGAAAGTTTGCTTTAAAGTTTGTTAATATAATGAAGTAATTAACGAAGAGATAAAGATTCGTATCCAAAAAAAGGTAAATGACTGTTAAATGAATCTTACTTAAAAGTTCCATCAACGTTGAAGTGAGTGGCCTCGGACAAAACTCTTAAACTCTCGTCTGATACGAATAGTATGTAACCATCATTCAACTAAAATGAACACTTACATAAGATATCTAATTGATTTCAAATACAGTGGTAGGCAATAATTTAAATATAATGAAAACTACTGTTAAACAAGTTTTTTTCAAATTAAAAGCCTACTGCCGTACAAAACATTGCACTTTAATTTATCCCCATATTAACCCCGGCCTCTCAAAATGGGAGGAGGGGGGGGGGGGGGGGAGTACTGTTACTTCTTTTGAACAGGTTTAAACAAAATTTTACTTAAAAAACTTCTTTAATTTTCAAAATTTATAATTCAACAAAATAATTATAATGCAAAATAAATATCATGCATGTGGTAAGGTGGAGGACGGTCTAATTAATTAGATATGTGTTAAAGTAATCAAAATTAGTCGATAACTATATTCTTAATTAAACTACAGATTTCAAATTAATTTATTTAAAAAGCCATTGATAAATGGATTTGAGAACATGTCACATAATAAATAAGTAAACTAATTGCCGACAACTTCTTTTATCTCTATTTTGACGAAAGCTAAACTAAAATGTTTTTTTTAGCTGCTTAATATAGAATTCATTAGTCTTACGTTTGTCTCTCTGTGTAGAGGTAACCCATCTGGGGTCAAACCCCAGGTTCCTGGTAAAACTGAAACATCCGCTAGGGCCTGAGGGGTTGGTGGTTAAAATTCACGCTGATACTTCAGTAGACTAGATCTTTAGAATAGATATTAAAGAACTGAAACGATTCCAGATTGTCTGTACTGCATAAATAAATATAAAATTCACATCCACTTTGGTTCTTCTTCCTTATTTACTGTAAGACCAATATTTCACTAATTCAGCAAGTTAAATCCAGTATTGGAAAATTTCAATAAATAACATCCTGATAGAAAAAGTTCAAAATTTTCAGAAATAAAGCCATTAACGAAAAAGTGGAAAATGTTAAGAAATTAAAACCATGAACGAAAAAGTTTAGTTTGATTGTATTGGGGTTACTTTTTGTTTGTTTGGGTAGTTTGTGTTATGTTTTTTTTTTTTAATATCTGTTTGTTTTAAAAATTTGTTTTCATTATTTTCTTTGCTTCTTTATTTGTGTGAGTTTTGTTAGTGTTTTTGTTGATTTGTTTGTAATTTCAATTTAAAAAAAAATTTGTTTTATATTTGTTTGTTTGTTTGTTGTATTAAAATAACCTTACACTGAGTGGTCGAAAGTGGTAGTTACACTTGCAAAGGTCACAGGGTCTGCCAATTTTTCATCGTCCCAAGCAGTTCTAATTATCAATGTTATCAGAATTTAAATTAATCATTTAAATTAGTCAATCTTTCAGAGCAGTACATGTCTTCCACAGCTAGAATCAGATTTAGACAGTGCTTGGGATCCGGATCCGTTGGATCCGCAAGATTTTGGGTACCTATGAACTATTGAAAAAAGTGCGATTTAAAAAATTTCTTGATTTCTGAATGGTTCATCAAGTTTTAGCCAAAAAATAAATAAAACAAAAAGACAAAAAATTTGAAAATTGTGCTTTGTTAAAAAATTATGTAAATCCGGAACCATTATTGTCCAGTTAAAATTAAATGGATCATAAGCACTGGATTTAGACCGAGGAAATGTTGTCTAAGAAGAAAACCATGGGTAAATACTAAATATTTTGAAAATCCACCCGTTACCCCCACCCACACCCTACAATTAAATTAATTTTGAAGGTTTTTGTTGGAAATAAAAATGTGTAAATGTTAAAAAGAATAACATGCAGCCAACTGTACACCCAACATGGACAAAAAAGGCCTTGGGGGGAGGGGGATCAAAACACCCATGATGAGGGGAAGGGAAAAGGAAGTTAACAGCGAAATAAAAAGGGAATAAAAAGGGAACGAAAAATTAAAAAGGGTGGGGAAAAAGGAGAAGGGTAAGGAAATGGATGGGTGGGGATGGTGAAAGGAAGGGAAGTGTACAGGTAAGGAAGGGAATGGGAAGTGAAGGAGATAGGCAGGGAAAGAGATAAGAGTAAAGGGGAAGGTTTGGGTAGAAAACTAACATATTTTTAACAATTTTTTGTTTTAAAAAAAGGTTCTAAAAAAAAGAATCAACTTATTTCTTTAAAATTACTAACCTAGGCTTTAGTGCCGGGTTCAACATGATTCTGTTCTGAACTTTCTCAAGAAAAGCTAGGTTACTGATGTCTGTAATTGGAGGGGGGTGGACATCATGAGCCTTACCAATCTAAACGTGATTTATTAATTTTAAACTAATAATAGAGAGTTACACAAATTTTGTCTGCAAGTGAATGTTAAAATCAATTTTTATAATGATAATTAAAGTCTTACCCTGATTAAAGCGTTGGCTGGAATGGGGGCATCTTTGTCAAAGATTTCTGTTAATACCAAACTTGCTTTACACTGAAATTAAAATCTGTTTTTACTTCTCATTCAGTAGTCGTTTCAATAACCCCCTTTTGAGCGATTTTTTGTCCGATTGCCGATCTGTCAAAACATTTTTACCATTTTGGGAACAAATTAACTTCAAGAAAGGGTAGATAAACTTAATTCGCCTAAATACATACTCATGATACCATAATTAATTTAAACAGTGTTTAAAAACATAACTTAGAAATGTAGTATGAGGCTGATTTTTTGCATGCAAACTCAGATTCCTTCAAACCCCAAAAATGCATGTAATATACATAATTCTGAGTTTGCATGCAAAAAATCAGCCTCCTACGACAATTCTAAGTTATGTTTAAACACTGTTTAAATTATCTTCTATTTAAATTGTGAACATGTTCTTTTTGTTTACATTTTAAATGAAAGAAGAAAATATTTTGCGGATTTTAAAAAAAAATTGTGGATTTTCAAAAATAATTTTTTATTTTATTTTTATCATTCATAAACCTTCCCCGGGGTCACGTGAGGTCTCACACAAAATTTGGGCCCGATCTGTTCAGCCGTTTTGACGTTTATTGGATACAAACAAACAGACAGACAGACAGACAAACAAACAGACGGACAAGACAGACAATATATAGATTCATACCGGCTTCTGTCTACACTGATAGTATGCTCGGCCATCCCTTGTATTTCTTATTGAAAATAGGTGCCTAAACAAATGTTAAGTCATTTGAAAACATAACAAATAATAAAGGCCCTTAAACATTAAATGTGTAAATGGGCATGATTAATTCACATCAGTACAATTTCAATCTGATAAGGTATCTGTCATTTATAGCTAAGTATTTAAATCCGTCATTTCATGACTTATTTTTCCCAAGTTCTGACAAATGTAACACAAAATAATATTAGAATTTTGGGTTAAATAAACAATGTCAGAGAAACCTTATGAAGAATTTGAGTAGGACTGAACTGCCTAACGCCGCGCCGATTCAAATTTGATCACAAATTTAAATGCTTCTTTCTCATTAAACTAAGAATTAGGGCAGTTAAAATTCTTAATGTTATAAAGCTTTACTTGATAAAGTCACAGTTAACTTTTAAAGGAAAATTTTTTGCACATAATATTCTTCCATATACAACAATTTATTGCACCAAAATCAACTCTATAATATATATTTTATCAATAGTTCAGATTATGGTTTTGAGAGTAGAAAAGGTTTGTTTTGCATTTTTTGTTGATATTTATCTCCTTGGATCCGGATCCAGGAAGCCTAAATTTTGTAGATCCAACAGATCCAGATCCTAGGCACTATACTCTTTTCTCAGATTGGTCATTTCGTAATTAGCATTCAAGCTTCCATTTATTACGGCAATAGTCATTTTTCATGTTAAAAACAATTCTTAAAATCAATATCTCTTTAAAACTTTTTTATTGGAGGTCGTCTTCTTAAGTTAAATGGAACACATAACCCCAAAAAAAGTACATTTAGGTAAAAAAAAGTGCCAGCTAGCTCAAGAAGATGACTAATAATCAAAAACTATCATAAAATAGATTGTTTTAGAATTTATTTTTACAGTAGAAATGACTATCGTCGTGAATATTGGAAGCATATTGCATGCTTTTTACAAAATAACAGATAGAGAGTATATATAAGTCAAAACTTGCAGTGCCCGTTAGCTATTTCAATTGTAAACATGTTCTCTTTGTGAACATTGTAAACAAACTCCAATCAAAAACTGTCACAAAAGAATTTGTTTTTAGAATTGTTTTTGCATAGAAATGGACTATCGGCGTAATGATTGGAAGCATTTTCCTAGTGTAATTAAAAATAATAGATTCTTAGAAAAAGACAAAAGGTCAAAACTTGCAGTGCCAGTTAGCTAACAAAGACGACCACCCATAAAAAAGTGTCATTAAAATTGTTCTTAGAATTGTTTTTATATATAAAATAACTATCGACTAGGATTTCAAGCTAATTTTTTTTAATCCCCCCCCTTTACTGATTACACCTTACACAAAAGCAGCCTATGAATAATTTTGAAAAAATGAAAAATTTAAGTAACTGGTAATATTTATTCTTTAAATATTCTTTAATATTTTCACATTCGTAGAACCTAAACACAAAATCTACTAAAAATATATTCTTTAAATATTCTTTAATATTTTCAGGATAACAAATGATATAACAAAGGATACATTGGAAAGAATAGAAATGTACATTACTTACCCATCATGCTCGAGAATGTAACCTCCATTGCTTTTCAAGAAACGCATCTATAAATACATTATCAATTATTTGCTACCAACTGTATTAGGTATTTTAAATTTCACGATGAATATATAATATATATAATATCTATAATAAAACTTTCAGTAAAACTTGCTCGAGGGAGATGGTGGGCGAGCCCGACCGTTTGATCTTGATAAAAATACGTGATGTTGTAAAACTAATCCTGATGAAAAGCGTTAAAAACCCCTTTTAAATGTTATTCATTTAGTTGTTATGTATATCAGACATTTCAATCATGAAAATTTTCTTGATCATTCACAAACCTACCCTGTGTCTCTCAAGATTCCACCAAAAATTTGGGCCAAATCGGTTCCGCCTTGTTGCCTTCAAACAAACAGACAAACATACAGAAAGACAAGCTAAATATATATTTAGAGAAAATAGTTATTTTGCTGGAAAATAATGGTCATGTACAAAATTTGTAGGAAGGGGGGGGAGGATGGGCAAAAAATCATTCTCTAGGACGGGCTATTAACAATTACGCTCTATAAATTACTTAGTTAATAAAAAAAAAGGTATATTCCTAGAGAACGATTTTTGGACCCTCCCCCCCTTCCCCCCTCCTATCAATTTTGTACATGGATCTTACAGAAAGTGTCTCAACATAACCTAACCCGNCGTCAAAACGGCTGAACCAATTAGGCCTAAATTTTGTGTGTGTGTGTGGGGGGGGGGGGGGGGTCCAAAAATCGTTCTCAAGGAATATACCAAACAATGTACTAAAAAAATATCAAACCTTAAAACGTAATTCCCAGGATCTAAAGAGAAAGCGGGTGGTGCCAAGCTAATAAATCACTTCTGAAAATATTGGCTTACAGCATTTTCCAGTTTATAGTTGTAAATTTGTCAATATTACAAAATATGTAAATATTCAAAGTATACTTTAGAAGAAAATAAACTATGGCCAATTAACACTAGAATGTCCACTAAAATAACAATTTTTTTAATTTTGTTTGTCCAGATTTAACAAACACAGTGTTTTTATTCAATAATCAAACTGAGAAGCACTCGTTTGCTTTTGCATACCGGCCCATGGGTCGTGAATGTGAAATGCCGCATTGTATTCCCATTTCCCACACTTAGATCGTCTTCTATTTTAAATATTGAGAGGTGGATGCTACATCGATCAGACTAGTGGTGGATTCGGTGGATATTTGTTTGAACTATAACTAACTAGAGATGGAATTCGGCCACCGGTCTTTTGAACTAAGGATTGTTTGAACTATTTTTTTTTTGAACTACTGATGTGACGTCATATCCTGTAGTTCAAATTAACACAATATTTGCTTATTTAAACTATTTTCTTTAAANAAAAAAAACGGAAACGCCTCAAAAAAAAGAGGAAACACCTCAACTTTAAATATTAGGAAACGCCTCAAAAATATTCGGAAATCCCTCAACATTTTCCAGTTTTGAGGGATTTCCCCAAAAAAAACGGAAATTTCTCAAAACCGGTTTTTGAGGCATTTCCGCGTTGAGACGTTTCCGTGTTGAGGCGTTTCCATAGCACCATTTCTACCACATGAACACAGTGATTAACGTGCAGAACAGACAGGAGCTCCAGAAGTTTCAGCCTAAAACAGTTCTGTAGAAACCAAAGATTACAGTTGATTACCGAAGAGTTAAGGATTGCCCTGAGATGAAGTGTCGAGGAAACGGTTAGTTTGCAAATATTTTTATAAAGGCAGGAAATTGATTTTAAAAGATTGTTTCGATAAAATCCCCACCTTGCAACCAATACTTCAATTAAGATATCTTTAAACTTTTTTATCATGTTGCTTACTGATTGTTTTCTCTTAAAATGTTCTTAAAATCTTAGTATTTTCCCAAATCTGATTATATTATAATCTTAACAGATGCTGAATGTAGATAATTTGAGCTGCAGCTCAAATATGGTTGGTTCCACTTAAAATTGTATTCAATTTTTCAAGATTTAAGCTGGCACTCAATTAAAACCGGTTTTTGAGGAATTTGAGACGAGGCTTAATTTTATTAAATTCGGATACTGAATATTAAAACCTGTCATAAACATTTAACTGTAGAATAGTTACTTTTAATAAAGTTATTGTTTATTATAGATTTAAGTTTTAATCCGATCTAAACATGATAAAGTACAAGAGGACTGTGATACAGAGAGTGAAACAACAGCAGAGGAGGGTTCAGGTTTAAATTGTATTAATTGACATGAATACGAAGCTTCCTTAGTTCCTGATAAAAATTAAACTTATCCATGTTTTTTGTATCTAAACAAGTGTTTGATTCTGGTAATTTTATGCAGTGTTTTTCCATTAATAAAATTGAAGAATCAGATGCCCATGCATTTTCAGGGACGTATACTAAAAACAAAAACATGGATATCAGATTTATGCTTAATCAGTAAAAGCATTTAATGGTACGGTTGTGAATGGAACAGACCAATCTTTAAATGGAGTCACTTGAAAAGCATTCTTTTTAGAGTACAGATTGGTTTCAATTATCTCACAATACGGACCTTCTCCTACTTCAGGGCAAGGGGGGGCCGAGCGCTGTGGCCATGAAAGACCTTGAATTAAACAATTTTAAATAAAATTAGTGTTTATGTAAAAATGGCGTCTTTTCAAGAATATTTCTGTTCTCTCAGATCAGATAAACAATCAAACCCAACCTATATCAAATTCATAACATTCATATTAAATAAAAAATATGTAAATAAATAAATAAAAATTATGTAATATAAATTGTTAAAAGTTATATAGAAGAATGATAAAATATCTCAAGGAAATCAAGTTCTGAAATGAAATCTCACATTCAATAAAAATTTTGAAGTATGTAATCCACGAAAACAATGTGGAAAATCAGGGAATTTTCGAAATGCCGGCATTGCTGAAAGAGAGGTCTCTGCAATTTTCTCTTATAAAACCTTACAGAAACCAAGAATTATTGAATACAATAACAGTACTTGGTACTTCAGAGCTGAACTCAGTGTTTGGACGGGGGCTGAGCATGGTCAAATATATCAGCACCCTGATATCAAGTACAATCGCATTCATCTATCGCCGAGGATAAGGAGAGATCTAAGATTACAAGGGATACAGAATATCCCATGTAATATGACATACTTAGTTCCGTGCGATTGTGTGATTTTACTGGAAAGAAATGGGTATCTTCATTTCTGGATGTGCATCCTCATGCTGTTCTGGTTCATGGTTCTGATGACTTCAAGACTGTTTTAAGGAGAAATATATAATAATTTCCCAGAGATCAAGAACCATCCCCTTCATCTTTCACAGGGGATATGTAAAGATCTTCGGTTAGCTGGGATAAAGAATCTCCCAGCTAATCGTACATATCTGATCCCCTGTGTTGTTGTGATTTTACTGGAAAGGAATTGTTCATTTCAATTCTGGATGTTCATGTTCATTATGTTCATGGTTCTGTTGATAAAATGATAAAATATCAAGTTCTAGGAAATTAAAAAAAAAATTTTAAGTATGTAATCGCCGAGAACAGTGTGGGAAATCCGGGAATTTTTCAAAGTGGAGCAGAAATCTTCTCTCCTTGTGATATGAAGCTGTTGAAACTGAATAAGCCGGAACAGGTTAATTTTACTGATTGCAGGGTATTTCTTCTTCACTACATATGCATAGAGAAGATTTTCTGCAAGTATATTTGAATCTAAATATGTAGAACATTGTGGGAAATCCGGGAATTGTTCAAAATCGTGTGGGAAGTAAGCGAAGCTTACTCTTTTTTAATTTTCAAAAGCAACCTAAACCATGAGGAGCGTGGCGTATAGAGGGCATATAGGAAAATTGTTATACATAGGCGCTGAGTTAAGCTGCTGGGCTGGGCTTGTGATGAGATACGTTTAGTGGAGAAGGAATTGTTCATTGTTCATTTAGTTGGTCTTAATTTTTAAATTTTAAATTGTGGCCCACATTGCACAGTTGAGGATTGTTGAAGGTGCAAAGCATGCATTGAAATGAGGAAGTTTGGAGGAGGGCCTTCTAAGGAATCTTGTCAAATTATTTGAAACATTCGAACCTGTTTCAAATACGGTAATATTTAAGAGGTGCCTGAGAATCAATTTTAAACTGAAATGGAACTTTTAAAATCAATAGCTAATTATCTAAACATTTTAGTTTCTGAATTTTTGCATTATTTGTTGTTTGTTGTGTGTTTGAAATGTTTATAATTTAATTAACTTTTTTAGGAGAGATGGAACATGAAATCTGTTGAACATGAATTTTAATCAATTAAGCAATTTTTCCTAAAATTGCGAAGTTTCTGATTTAGATGTAGTTGCCTCTGAATCACCTGGGGTCCTTCCTAACTACAGGGTGTCCCAATAAACACAGGAATTGAGATAGGACATAAATTCGTCTTTACTCTGTACTTATTTTTATTCTAAAACTTAATGAAGCATTCAGAAATGAGGAAAATTTTATAATCTCTTTTTTTCAAAAGTTCTGAGTTGGGTTTTAGGAGTAAAAGTTTTTTTTCCAGTTTTTGGTTGATTTTACCCCTTGGATCCGGATCCGTGAATCTGCATATTTTTGCGGATCCGGATCCAGGAAGCCAAAATCTTGCGGATCCAACGGATCCGCATACTAAGCACTGCCCTATATATTAAATTTGTTAGTTTAATTTTGGGTAAATTAAATTATATCAGAGGTAAAATAAATGTAATAAATGTATTTTTGGTTAGAAAAAGAAGGGAATAACTTCCTAGTAAGAGGCCAAGTGAATTAAAAATAATTCCCCCTTTAGATAATTCAATTTGCTTCCAAATATGGGGTTCACAAACAGACAGAGACTGAGATTACTATTATTACATTAAATAGTTAATATTGGATATTTATATATAAAGACAATATTTTTCATTCATCAAACCTGTTTGCCAGCCGCTTAGCCGGTGGTGCGATTCCGTCTTCAATCTTTTATGAAAAAAAATGAATTAAATCATATGAGTTTGAGGCAAAAAATCATCATATAAGAAATGAAAATTTGTATTGAAATATCGGTAATTACAAATATTTTTTAGTGAATTAGTTGATTACTGCATTTTGATTTAAATAAAGCATGCAAAATTGCATCTTTACTAAAGTTACTTTAATAAAAGAAAAAACTACAATTCTATGTGTATAATTATTTTTGCTTTTTCGTTAAAAGTTCATTTTAATTTAAAAACTGTAATATTTCAATATGACTTAAGATGCTTTCATTGTGTTGTAATACATAAAGGTTTAAATGGAAGTAAAGCAGAAAGTTTCTTTAAATCAAATTGTCTTTGAATGAGGATGAGTAAGAGTTGGATAGTTTGTGATGTTGAAGTTCCATGTATATACATCATTAAAAAGTTCCGATGTTTAAGGTTTAAAACTAAATCTTCATAAATGAAATCTGCCACAAAAATTATCAATGAGCTTTAAATCTGCGACAAACATAACCTTAATGCATGAAATCTGCAACAAAAATTATGAATGAGCTAAATTTAAATCTGCCACTAAACATAATATTCATGTATGAAATTTGCCAAAAAAATTATGAATGAGCTATATATCTGCCACAAAAACACTCTTAATACATGAAATCTGCCACAAGAATTATGAACGAGCCTTAAATCTACAAAAAACACTATTTTAATGCATGAAATATGCCACAAAAATTATAATTTATCACGCGAATCCCCTTGCTTTAGATTGACCAGGAAGAGGCTGCCCCTCCTGTTCGTCTTGTTGAATGTTCAAAATCTTCTTGATTTTTTTGACGAATTTTGCTCCCACCTCCTCCACAGTTTTTTGCGTGCCCTCGCGCTGACTGAAGAATTTGGATATACACTTTTTTCTGAGCTTTTTAATATTTATTTCCTCTTCCTGTAACATCAGCTCAAACAAATAAAAAAAATTGTAAAAGAAAATACCCCTTTACCCCATACAGTGTCAATTTCCCCAAGGCTGTAATCTGCAGTGATCAATTTCCCCAAACGGTTGAATTTTATCAATCCCAAAAGATACAGATAACTGATTGATCTAGGGATTGACTGAAGAAAAATGTTGACTTCTGAAAAGATATTTTACAATGTAACACCCTGCCACCATTTCAAAATTATGAATATTGTGATTGAACTTTCCTTGCTAAGTAGATTAGCTATAGTCACATCCCAATCAAATTTCTTTTCTTTTAGAACTAGGTTCATCTACTGTTTCCTCCAGTTTTCTCTTATTGTCTTCCTCGTCAGGATGTTTCTTCTTCTTCTTAATAAACATATCAGAGAGGTAGATATATACTTAGTAGACATATTAGACAGGTATTTATACTTAGTAGACATATTAGACAGGTAGATATACACTTAGTTCACATATTAGACAGGCAGATATACACTTATTAGACAGGTAGATATACACTTAGTAAACATATTAGACAGGAAGCTATTTACTTAGTAGACATATTAGGCAGGTAGTTATATACTTAGTAGACATATTAGGCAGGTAGATATGTACTTAGTAGACATTCTATACAGGTAGATATAACTTAGTAGACATATTATACAGGTAGATATACACTTAGTAGACATATTAGACAGGTAGATATACACTTAGTAGATATATTAGACAGGAAAATATACCCTTTGTAGACATATTAGACAGGTAGATATACACTTAGTTGACATATTAGACAGGTATTTTTACACTTCAAATAGACACATCAAAGGTCCTCACTGTGAGAAGGAATTTGCCCATCAAACAAAAATCTTTTATAATCTATTATAATCTATTATATAAAATAGAAAAACAAGGATTTTTTTTGTGTTGTTGCTCCGTACAGGTTGTAAAGGGTACTGTTGTGAATCAAGCTTTTAAATGGAATGTTACATGAAATTAGGTCTGCAGTCTTTTAAGGAAAGCAAAGGGAAATGGAGGAGATAAAGGAGTAGATAGAAGAAATAAACGGGAAGTAATGCGGCATTTAATAAATTTTATGTTGATAGAAATTTATGAGACTTGTCAGCAGTTTTTAACTTCCGTCAACAAATTATTGATAAAAGAAAAATTCCCATTTAGGACAGTAGGACGCTCCTAAAACTCCGATGCATTGATTGATATGATTGATTTATATGATTGATTGATTGATTGATTGATTGATTGATTCATCAAGTCTGTGCACAAGAAGATGAAGAAAACTTGTGAAATCTGTAATGAAGAAGTTCCCTACTCCTCTATTAGTGTTTACAAGAGAAAGGTGACTATAAAAACTATAAAAATAAATTAATTTTGACAAATATTTTTTTATTGAAATATTCGAAAATAGGCTTTTATGGCGCTTTGCGCCCATCTTTTATTGCAATTGTGAACATTTTCTCTTTGTATACATTGTAAACAATAAAAAAAAATCGCGGATTTCATAAAATTAAATTCGGTGATTTTCAAAATTTAATGAAAGTCGAATTTGGTTGGGGGCTATTTTTGAAAGTTTGATCATCCAGAATTCTCTGCGCGAAATCCTTTTAACCTGTCTTTCAAGAACATATGAGATATTTTAGAGAAAGAACAAGTGTACATATGTGGTTTATTCTAAATAGTTAAATGAACATATATTAATATCCAGGAGTACATGTTCTCGTGTTTGAAGGAGGAGACTGACTGGTTCCTGGATTCCGGTTTTTCCTGTTCCCGGATTTTCCTCATAATTCTCGAGCATTCTTAAGTTTCATTAAGACTTGAATTATTGCTGCTACATAGGTCCCCCCCAAGTCTCTAGATCCATTGGAGGTTGAGACTGATATGGAATCATTTGAGAAGTCATTGGAAATATCTTGCTTTGGAAGGCTGTTCCATAGGATGAAGTTGATCAGAGTTGCTTGTTGGTTCCATTTGTATGGTATAGGAGTATCTTTTTAGCTTTTAGCTTCAGAAGTAGCTGGTTTATTAAAGGAACCAGGTTGGATATGAGCTTGAACTGGAACAGTAAAAGAACCAGGTTGGGTATAAGCTGTAACTGTCGATTTAAAACAGTCTTGAAGTCATCAGAACCATGAACCAGAACAGCATGAAGATACACAGCCAGAAATGAAGATACCCATTTCTTTCAAGTAAAATCACACAATCGTGTTTATGGATGAATCCTAATTATTTTCCCGGCCAGACCCCCTTCCACTCCGTCAATGGGAATCTAAATTCAAATATTAAATTAAATAAAGATGTTTAAATCGCGGCTCAAATTCTTTAAATTCCATCTCTGGACTCCTGAAATATACTATCTAATAAACTGAACCAGGTCTCCTGAAATATACTTTCTATCGAACTGAACCAGGACTCCTGAAATATACTTTCTATCAAACTGAACCAGGACTCCTGAAATATTCTTTCTTTTAAACTGAACCAGGACTCCTGCAATATACTTTCTTTTAAACTGAACCAGGACCCCAGAAATATATTTCTATCAAACTGAACCAGTACTCTTGAAATAAACTTTCTATCAAATTGAACCAGGACTCCTAAAATATATTTCTAATAAACTGAACCAGTACTCCTGAATTATACTTTCAATTAAATTGAACCAAGACTCCTAAAATATATTTTTTTATATTATACATTCCTACAAATGTATTTCACTATCAACTGAACCAGTGTCCGAATTTAATGAATTTGAGCCGCGTCTTAAATCCGCCGAAAACCGGCTTCAATTTACCACCGCTTAAATCTTGAAACATTGATTACAAGTGAAACCAACTATATATGAGCCGCGGCTTAAATTTAAGCCGCCGCTCAAATTCTTTAAATTCGGCCTCAGGACTTGTAAAATATACTTTTTATTAAACTATTTATTNTGTACTAACATATCATTAACCAAGAAAATAAGTACATTTGTACTTACAACACAATTCTCAATAATCTACTTTTAATATCAGCAATCTTTATTCTGAGTGCCGTGTTCATAATAATTGCAGTAACAGTAATGAACATAACGGAGTTATGCTTGTTAATAGCGCCGAACTTGTACAAACTGTAATTAATGTGATTTTAAGTTTTACATTATTTGTCAGATAATTTTCAAATGGATGATAATGGATTAAGCTACTTGTGTAGATAATGTGATTTTATGCGAAGATTTGCTATTAAAGATGATCAAATGTAAAATAAACTGAAAGGAAGCTACATAAAATGATGAATAATAGACTGAAAAGAAGCTACATGAATAATAAACTGAATTAAAAGCTACATAAGTAATAATCTGAGAAGCTACATGAATATTAAACTTAAAAGAAGCTACATGAATAATAAACTTAAAAGAAGCTACATGAATATTAACTGAAAAGAAGCTACGTGAATAATAAACTGAAAAGTAACTACGTGAATAATAAACTGAAAAGTAGCTACGTGAAAAATAAACTAATAAGAAACTACATAAATAATCAACTGAGAAGAAGCTACATGAATATTAAATGTTTAAATATATATGTTTTCCAAGACAAAATAGTTCATGGGTCTAACCCAATCATCAGTTGGAATAAAAATATGTATATATATTTATATAGAACATAATGTCCCAGGTACATAGGAAATATCCACTAAACAATATATTTATTTATTAATATTTATATAATGTCCTAGGTCCATACATAATTTTCAGCCTAAAAGTAAAACATTTCAATATATTTCAGGATCTTACTAAACATTATGTTTCATGCCTTGCAAAAATTTTCAGATCATGTGTAGTTTTGACATTATATATATTGAAATATATCCTGAAATATATTGAAATGTTTTACTTTTAAGCTGTAAATTATGAATGGAATATAACACCAAACATTGAAATGGCCTATGGCCTTAGTCTTATTAATCAAGGTTAATAAATTACCTCATGGGTGTCTTAGGAGCACTGGGATTCTTCACTTTCTTGATCTTCACCTTCTTGAGCTCAGTTTTCTTCTTGGCCAACTCCACCTTGTTTAGGAACTCCTGAGTAGGATTATAATCCTTCAAAGAGTTTATGAACTTCTCCTTCTCCTCCTTGGCCAGCTGTTCATACCTTGTCTTGATCTCAGGGTCGATGTTTTTCCACCTTTGCCCAAGCTCCCTAGCAACAGTAGTTACAGAGATATTTCCTAATTCAGCAATAACCTTAGTTCGTTCATCCTTACTCCAGAGCACCTAGGAACTAAACAGATAAATATAAGATAATCATGATCAATATTATTTATATTCTTTACTCAAGAGCATATAGGAACTAAACAGATAAATATAAGATAATCATGATCAATATTATTGATATTCTTTACTCCAGACCATATAGGAACTAAACAGATAAATATAGGATAATCATGATCAATATTATTGATATTCTTTACTCAAGAGCATACAGGAACTAAACAAATAAATATAAGCTAATTATGATCAATATTATTGATATTCTTTACTCCAGAGCATATAGGAACTAAACAAATAAATATAAGATAATTATGATCAATATTATTTATATTCTTTACTCCAGAGCATATAGGAACTAAACAGATAAATTTAAGATAATCATGATCAATATTATTGTTCATCCTTACTCCAGAGAATACAGGATCTAAAACAGATTAATTTAAGATGATCATGATCCATAATATTTTGAACTTTTCTAGTACAGAAATAACATTGCGCAGCCTAACTCCACAGCATATATCAACTAAAACAAGAGTCAGAATTTGTGGGTTGAGAATCTCGGGTTCAAGCATTGATCATTATTTTATGCAGACCTTCGGATTAATTCAATTACTCTCTTTGATATCCCGTAGAGGTCGTTCATGATAAAGGATAACAGTCCCTACCGTTGAATAAGTTGAAATGATTATTTTCAAGAAATTTCCTAATTAATTTAAGATAAAATCATAGTTATAGGTTTAGTAGAATCTCCCACTCTAAATGTATTTACCTCAAAGGTCACTTGGGGGCCTCAGGGTCCTTTGGCAGCTTCATCTTCCTTTGCTTCGTTACAATCTGTTGTCCATCACCTGCTGCCCCTGGGTTCTCAGTCTCAAAATCAAAGGCAGATAAACTCTTCTTTAAGGTACTCATTTTAATCTCAGTTAAACCTAGAAAAATATCAAATTTTTTATCATAAAATTGGTTAAGTTTATAAAATATAACACAAAAATGTTAACAAATCATTATCAAGTCCTCAAATGTAATGAGTTTAAATATGAAAATGTTAAATACACAAAGAAAGGTTTCCGGCCAAAAACTAAAATTATATAAGTTACAAATTATTAGTTATTTTCTGGTTATATTGCACTATGGACTGAACAGTGAACAATGAATGTACTCTGCATGGTTTCTAAAACTCCTCCGACACATCAAGGTCATGAGTATTATCCTCCGAATCCTCCAGCTCATTGGGATCATCCTCGTTTTCATCGCATTTAAAGAATTCTTTTATAAACAGCTCAACAGGACTGATCTAAACAGAAAATAATGTTGAGAAATAAACCGAAAAAGAAAACATTAGTTCTTTTAAACTCTTAAAATTATCCTATCATAGAATACTTAAATAACAGAAAGAACACTTGATGTAATCTTTTCAAGGATTATGGGTTTTTCGTAAAACAGGCTTTCTCTATCTGTTATTCTGCTAACCATGGGCTTCTGCCCCTAAATCTGGAAAAGACGACATCTAATTTTTTATCTGTTATTTTAATTAATTTACGTATTTAACATTTAAAATGTGATCAATTCGTGTAATTACCTCGATTGAATTAGATTTCCCTGTTAATGAGTGTATCCATCTTTTCTTGGAACCCTGTTTCTCTTCTACTTTCCACTGAGTCCAAGCAGCAGACCAACAATCCAGGGTTAGATTCCTTTTCTCCTCGGCGTTGAGTTCTCCAGACAGTATTATCTTCATCCATTCATTTCCAGGTCTTGTGTCAGCCTTCCCTCCACGCGCATTCACAAATACAAAATCCTTTCCCTCCGCATCAGTTCTGTATATATTTATGTAGTTGTTTACAGCCATGTACAGTCCTGGCATAGAAAACCGAAGTTTACCGTAAGAAGTTCTGTAAGGACTTAATACCTTAACAACTTGACCGGTTTTTCCCTTCCTGAAGTTAGCTATCGTCATGCTGGTAGTAAACCCAGGTCTCAAACCACCAGTTGTAGCACAAATCAAACCAATGAGAGAGCGTCTAGCCTCAAACTCTTCCTTCTTGTCAATACATATTTCTTCATCATCATCTTTTCTCTTCTTTTCAAGGGCCTCAAATGTGTGCTTAGATCTAAGAACTACTTGGAGCAACTCAAACATACGTTCAGGGTTAAACTTCAACATGGTTTCATCCTTTCCAGAGATTCATATAGTTAACAAAGATAAGGTACAAAAAGCAATCATATCTTTGGTCCAAAATAACTAAATTAGATCTGGGTACTATCGTGTTGGATACTCATGATTCCGAACACTTGATCGGGATATCCCTTGTGAGCATTTTTCATTTAAGGATCTGTATAAACTATACCTTTCCATATCTTCATTTTAGACATTAATCCCCTGAACAAAGCTACCTTCATCCTTTTACTGGGTTCGATTACCATGCAGGATATCGAATAAAGATTAAATTAATCTGCAGATTAACGAAAAAACTAAATCAAGCACTGATCTCGATATCCACGATACAAGAGTTCCAAGCTTTTGGCATTTAAACATTATAAATATAAAAATATAAAATTTATATCTCTTCCTTGGATTTCTGAAATGAGACCTCAGCACAGATCTTAGTTTCAAGGTTCTTGATCTGCTTGAAGAATTCCCTAGACTTGTTCTCCAGATAACTCACATAGCTCTTTTTCTCCAGTGGTTTCATTGTCTGGTCAACTTCAATGGTGTCTATACAAAATAATATGTCTTAAACAATCCTTTATCTTGGTTTTATAACTCTGCCTTTATCAACCCAAGTACTCAGTGAGACAGCTTATACAAATTGTAAGGCTAAGTTCAAAAATTACTTTTTATTCTTATTCAGCTAAATGTTTAAAAATTGTTTGAATAGGTATTATTTTAACGATTTAAGATGTGGCAGTTAACATTGACCAATGACCAATAACTAGTTCAAATTGGTCATTATCAGCAATTCAAAGAAATTTGATTTAATAAAAAGAGAATAAAGATGTCTGTTTACCTATTATAAACTGAATAAGATCAACGTAAGCCAGGATTGCACTCTTCTTAAAACTAGGAGATTCATTCTGCTCCAGGTAGTCCCCAAGACTGGGCAACATGAAGTTACTCTTCCCCGGTGGGATCAGGTCATAACTGCTGTTCATCTTCCAGAAGGATAAAATATTCTTTAATAGTTTCTTATCAGTTCTCCGATTCAACTCAACTTCCCAGTTCCTCAGTTTCTCCCAAAACACAAATTCAAGAACATATACATTGAAGTCTTCCTGCAACTTTCCAGGGTTAAATATGTATTTAATTCATCAGATAAAATAAGGAGAATTCCACACTTTTGCTTGTTTACTACATCATACATTAAGGATGTATATTTAGAAGTGAAGATAATTATTAAGTTAAAAATTCTGTTTCATTTAACTCAATTTCTAGTTTTATTGTTTTAACCCTTGCCTGGTTGGAAACTGTCATGGTCTCAATATCTACATTTCTGTTTAAGTTTCTCCAAACATGCCTATTCAAAAAAGGATATAAAAGAATGCTTTAGGACTTTTTCTTTGTTAAACAAAAACTTCTTAAAAAGTTGGAGATTTCTGGCACCCTCTGAATCAATCTTAGATACTCTGGGTTCGCTTCAATGTAAATGTCGTCTTTATTGCAACAGACACCCTAAATTCTCATATGACGTCACTTAAACTTAAGCTAACAATCATCAAATTTAACAAACATTGATTTTGCTAACAAGCTTGAGCTAAAAAATGCAATTCTAATTCACGTTTTTAATTTTTGAATTAGTTTGTATTTAGTGAGCAGCAAAATTTATTATTCTTTAAAATAAGCAGTCATATGAGGATATAAAGTGTCCATTAATGTAAAGGTCGTCTTATCCTACATTAGAGATCTAACCTTATTTTACAACCATGCTCTGAATACTCCCCTTGATCTTGGCTTGATAATACTATGATTAACCTCACCTTCTTATGCTGTTTAACCCTGGAGACCATCTTTCTGCAATATTGACACTTGTTCTTAGTTTCCTTCATGTTCTTACAGATAGAATTTAACTCCAGCTTTGACAAGGTCTTATGAATTCTACCAAGGTGACGTCTAGCTGAGGATTTATTGAAGAACGTCTCAGAGCAGAGCGGACATTTTGTTTGATTCTAGACAAAATATTGATAATGTTTTTCTTTGACTTACTGCATGTCACAGTTTAAACTAAAATACGCCCAATATTTTTTAACTTAACCCTATCTCTGCTGGGGTACTTGAAAACCAGGATATGCTGGGGGGGGGCAATTTGACCCCCCCCCCTCTAAATCCCATGTTTGATGTCCAAATATGACAAATGATACATCAT